GGCTACCGGGGGCTGACTAACTATAGCAGCTAAAGATATCTCAGTGGTGCGGTACCGTTCCTCTAACTCACTAAGCCTCCAGTGCAGTAAATAAACTACATTTAATACAGGTACCATTATCTTTAAAGGAGGCAGAGGAATAACTGAACATCTGACACACTGAGCAGGACAGAGGAGAGGGAGAGGGAGAAGCCATAGCTAACTGCTAATGCTAATGAAACTAGAGTGTATGAAAAACTTTGAAAGTAGTGAAAAGTCACTAAAAGAGGGAGAAACTCCGAGTGTTTAAGTAGAACTAGTCTACGTTTAAATGTTAAGCGGGTTAATAACCGCTGTAACGAGTATATCAAATTTATATTTAGCGTTCACTGACAGAGCTACAGCACCAAACAGTGTACACAGAGCAGGAAGTAAACCGGAAATGAGTCAGTACGCTTACCGTAGCACGTCACGTCCTGCCAATTACAAGGCTGCAGAGACTTATTGATATAGGAGTAAATGGTGGTATTATCCACCTTGTTAGGGACTTCCTCTCTGACCGCCCTCAACAGGTTCTGGTCAATAATACTCGGTCCGACATCATTGTGCTTAATAGTGGTGCACCGCAGGGGACTATTTTATCCCCATTACTTTTCTCGATATACACAAACGAATTCCAATTAGATCTGGAAAAGTTTTGTTTGTTTAAGTATGCGGATGATATGGCCCTGGTTGTCTTATTGAAGAAGGGGGACACTGTGGGAGAGGAAGTATACATCCTGAAGTGGTGTGATGAAAGCTTCTTAGAGATCAGTGTAACAAAAACACAGGAACTCGTCTTTCATGAAAAGGACCCTGTGCAGCCCCTTATAATTAAGGGACAAATTGTAGAGGTAGTGTAGTATCTGAAGGCTTATCTTAAAGCTTATAAAGTTAAATTACATTTTGGTATAAGTTGAAATGATATTTTGTTACCATATGTAGTGTTGGAAGTTCATGAGGTTCAATGACATATGGAATGTTGTTTTAGGGGCCTCTCAATGGCCTCTGAACTCTACTCCCCCATCTCCCCTTTATACCTTACATATTTGGATTGAATCCAGATGTTTCTTTCCATTTTTGGAGTAAACAACAGACCTATATAAACCTATGTTCGATGCAAAATAGACAGAGTTGTTCATTTGGCTGGATGCTCTCCAAGCTCCGCGGTGCTTGTATTGATGCTGAACTTTTGTAATAAACCTTTAAATACAATCAAGACGGTGTCAGCGGACTTCTCTTCAACACATCTTCACATCATTGCTACCCAATATACAACAGTAGTAAACAAGTTGAAATATTTAGGTACATATATTGATTGCAACCTAAATTTCAGTGAAAACACTGATTATATTTTTAAAACCTGTAATCAGCGTCTCCATTTACTACGCAAGCTCAACTCCTTTAGAGTGAGCAAGCATATTATGGAAACAGTTTACAAGAACCTGATAGAGGGTATCTTAACTTTTAACATAGCAATGTGGTACGGTAATCTAAACATAAAAGGAAGAAGCAAGCTGCAGAGAATAGTAAACATAGCCTCAAAAATCTTAGGAAGCTTAGGAAAAAAGCTGTCAAAATAGCTAACGATCCCTCTCATCCACTTAATAGGGAGTTTGAACTTCTTCCCTCTGGTAGACGATACAAAGTACCAAGGGCAAATCGTAATATTTTTCCTTCATCCCGAACTGAAAACCATATACAACTTCTTGTTTCATGGCGAACATCAAATCTTGGCGCCACGGCAGAGACACACCCTTCAGATTCAACTCACAAGCAGCACTATTTTTAATGTGACTAGTGCAGTGCCTGTAGGAAGTATGTATTGCTATAGAAAGTGTGAGGTTAAGTAGCTTTTTCATGGATGGCCAAATGAGGTTGTGTTTGCAGGTGGGATGTCAGGGACATTTATGTTTGTTGTGAAATGTGTAGATTGATAACTATAGTGTTTTCATATAATTTGGCTTTTAGCAAGGCCAATTCTCCGCACCCTCCTCTGTGTGAAAGTTTCAGATGCGGCGAGGGGGGAAATGTCACTCTGTCCCTGATCCTCCTCTGGAGGTAGTATCAGGGACGCAGGAGCGAGGTGTGTCGGTCAGACAGTCTGATAACTGCACAGGTCTCTCACTCAACCCACAAAGCAACGTTACAGGACCAGGGTATATACAGAAATTCTTAAGTTCAATTTAATACCTTTTAATACCTTTTTTAATACCTTTACAATATTTTTTAATACCAACACGACTTCGAGCTGCAACTGTAGTGGCAACCTTTCAAACTTCAGTGTTACTAATTATAAAGTAACAGATTACTGTCACTTTGTTACTTAACTTTCTGAGTGAATAAGTGTAGTAATGCTTACAATTCAAATCAAGTAGCTATTATTACTGGATACTTTGTTACTTTTTTGCCTCAATAAAAACACTGACCTATACACAATTATTTGTTATTTAATCCTAACCCAAGACAAAAAATGATTTCATTGTTATGTGTAGGAAGAGCACACACCACTTCTCCAGCGCTACTCTCTCTTTCACTATCATTCTATCTCAATGAAGACAAATGAAAATCAGAAAAGGTTTAAAAAGTTTAAAAACAGAAATGTTTAATCAAAGGACTTCTGTAAAAACTAAAGTGACGAGTATATAAAATAATAATTTCTTTCCAAAAGGAGTAAGGTAGCAGTAAGGAGAGAGAGGCAGAGAGAGAGAGAGAGAGAGAGAGTACTATTATTATTATTATTATTATTTTTATAATTCTATTTATTTATTTTAATTTTTAACATATTATTTTAATTTTCTAACTTTTTTCATTTTTTTTTTCTTCTTTGTTATTACTGTTATATTGACAACAGACTACTTGTTTTAACTGTAGTTACTTTACTACTGTTTTAATGAAATTTTGACACAAACTGATTGATTGATTGATTATTACTTATTGAGTGAGATTGATTGATTGTGACTGTGATTGTGATCGAGTCAATCATAGTTACAGTATTACCAACAGTATAGATTATAATTGATTTATTGTAAATATTGTTTTCCTTTATTGTTATTATTATTATTTTTAATTCCAAACGCTTGCTTTGGCAATATGTACAGTGTTATGTCATGCAGAGAGAGAGAGAGCGCGAGAGAGAGAGAGAGGCTACCGCTGGCAGTGGCTTGCGGGAAAGCGGTGGAGGTTTGCGGTGATGTAGCCGTTGCACTAGCAGACTGAGGTGCAAATAGTTTTACCGCGTCGCACCCTGTCTGACGTCACATCATCGATACCATTCAAGGTCCTACTCGCACATATAATTTATATAAATAAATTCACACGGTGTTTAGGAGATAGGCCTGCACTTACCACAAATTGAAAAAAAAACCTCATAGTTGGATAGTGGTTCGAAAATGTAATACCTCGTCAGATGACGTTTATTACTTTTTAATACTTTTTAATGGCCTTAATTTTTGCTCATTTCATTTACTACCTTTTAATACCTTTTACAACCCCGCGGACACCCTGAGGACCAAACAACAGTAACGTAGTAACTGTAACTGTCTTTGGAAACTTATATGAGGAAAAAAAATATCACAGCTGTACATGGAGAAGCATCTGTCCTCCTGTCTGTCCTCCTGTCTGTCCTCCCGCCTGTCCTACCGACTCTTTGTCACATTTCTGCCCGAAAAACAGCGTCTGTCACCGGCGAAAAACTCACAGAGTGTTTGTGATCAAAAATCACTGCGACCGCCAGCCCTCCGGACCGAGACATCAGTTTACTTTCCACCGGAAAACATTCTCCGTCTTGCGAGTGAGGGAGTCAGACAGCGTCCAGTTTACTGCTGGTGATTATGTAGAATTATGTCATTTAGAGTGAGAAACGTAACTTTGTCACTTTCCAGGATGTTTGGTGGGTCAGGATCTCAATCACTACACATTAGGGCTCTGCAGTGATTGGCTCTGGTGCGCACGTGGCTACGGTGGCTGTCGTTGACAATGCTAGCGGAATTCGGAAATAATTTATGAAATAATAATTTATTAACGGTATCTTTGTAGTCCAAACAAAGCCGACGTTGCACACCCTTAACCCACACAGCAGCCATGTTGAAACTCTCAGGTCAGTCTGATCCTGATCTGCAGAGATATTTGAGCCACACACACACACACACACACACACACACACACACACACACACACAGACAGACAGAGATTTCTTGCTTTATAGATAGATGGTGTTTACATCATACTGACCAAATTTGAAGTTGATCAGATCAATTCCCTAGGAGGAATTTGTTCAACGTGTGCAAATCACCAGAAATTGCCGCTAAATCCCAAATGTCCGACTTCTGTTGGGTTTGGGATATGGCTCCAAGAGCAATTTATGGTCAGGACGTCAGGCCGTGATCTACATGTGTACCACTTTTCATACTCATAGGTGAAACGTGCCATTGGGGCTGCTCAATAGGGGGCGCTGTCGAGCCATTTTTCCGTGCATGTGTTAGAGACCCACGCCACGACTGACATGTGCACAGATTTTCAGGACTTCTGGCATATGATACAGGCTCCAAAAAGGCCATTACATTTTATGAATAATAATAATTATTCCTACTAATAAAACAGGGCTTTCGCACGATTTGTGCTCCGGGCCGAATAAAAGCTCTGTTAACATATGAATGGATTCTGTCCATAGAAACGCGAGAGCTTTTAATAAAAATTTATAAAAAATAAATGTATTCAGTAATTTAAACTTATTTTTTTCCTGTGTGTGACATTCTACAGATATAGACATTGAAACTACAGTGAAAGGTGAATATGTTGCCTGTATAATGTCGATATGACTATGAACAGTCTCTTTATGCTGCAGCTGCTCAGGTAGACAGTGTGACCCTCGGTTTATAATCCCAGACCTCACGGTCCCATACTTCTGCCTCAGCAGTCAAGGAGCTACAAGAGCAAAGACGATAACCATCAGCATTATGGGTAATGTAGTAGTGACATACCTGACATGAAATACTGCCGAAAATGCACCAAAAGACCCCCAACAATAAGACCAAGAACCAGGAGAACCAGGAGAGCTTTGGCCCACGATGGAAATCGTTCTGTGGGAAACAGAAACATAAAGAACATGAACCTTTGACCTGTATCTACAGTAGGTTTTAGGGTTTGTTGCTGACCTTTGACCTGCAGCTGTATGTTTCTCACTCTCCGTTGTCCTCCTAATGCTCTGGCGGTGCAGGTGTAGGTGCCGCTGTCAGACAGGTGGAGTTTTGTCAGCTTGAGGCTGAGGTCTCCAGTTTCCAGAGCGTCAGCCATCATGGATGTCCGGCCGCTGTAAAGCTGGTTTTGGTCTTTAAATTCATCACCTTCCTGCTGACGCTGGTGGACGGTTGGAGGATTGAGATCGTAGCGTCTCCACACCACTGTGGGGTCGTCCAGTTCAAAAGTGTGATACTCACAGGGCAGCAGGACAAACTCCTTCCCCTCATACAGCTCCACAACTGAGGCATGCTGGGAAACTGTGAGGTCACACAGACAGAGAGGTTCAATCACAGCAGCCTTATTTCAGGTCTTATTGCTTCTGGATCTGGTCGTGTTTGTGATTAGACTTTGAAACCACATGAGCACAGTTTAATACCAATAAGACAAATAACAGAACAAACTGATAGACTGACTTCATTGATTCAACATGGTGTTTATATGAGTGTGTTAACTGTCTGAACTCCTCTTTCCTCACATCTTCTCCTTCCATCTCTCCATCACATCTTCAGTGGGAGCCACTGATACTCAGGGAGAAGACAGGACTGATGGACACGTGGAGACATTCATACAGATGAGACACACCCTGAGTGTTTGGACCATCTGTGTCCATCTTGTACTAAATTATGTTCAGATGTTGAAGGACTGTAACAAAGTTAATGTCCTCTAATTGTTTGTAAACTAGAAACTGACCTCTGACCCGTATCTAAAGCACTTACCTTTCTACAGACCTATATCTAGAGCTGTGGTTCCAAGCCCTTTCCTTTGAGGGATCCCTTTTCTATCATTTAGTAATCTGACAATCCCTAGTGACATATTTTATTAAAAACTGTACAATTTAGCCAAACAGTGAATTCAGTCACTGCAAGAAGCTTGTGTAAAACAGGTGATTTAAATGAATTTTGAGCAGATTATTTCCTGTTTAGGGAACTTTTTATAAGATTCTCTGTCTATATTATATGTTTATTCATTATTTGTAACAATCATACAACTTAATAGGCTTCTTTTCTGACTTTTCAGTGTTTTCTTGTCCCTGATGCTTGGCCATTGTACTATCAGACAATTAACTTAAAAATATATATTTTAATTTTCTTTATGCTTATGCTGAGATATGAGCCTACTGCGTATATTTTCATTTAGTTTTCTTACACGCCATAAAGTCAAGAAAGCTTCGCCCCCATTAAACTTTTAGGACCCTCAGGTTGGGAATCACTAATCTACAGTAGGTTTTAAGATTTGTTGCTGACCTTTGACCTTCAGCTGTACTTCTCTCACTCTCTGTTTTCCTCTTGATGATTTGACGGTGCAGGTGTAGGTGCCGCTGTCAGACAGGTGGAGTTTTGTCAGATTGAGGCTGAGGTCTCCAGTTTCCAGAGCGTCAGCCATCATGGATGTTCGGCCGCTGTAAAGCTGGTTTTGGTCTTTAAGTTCATCACCTTCCTGCTGATGCTGGTGGACGGTTGGAGGATTGAGATCGTAGCGGCTCCACACCACTGTAGGGTTGTCCAGTTCAAAAGTGTGATACTCACAGGGCAGCAGGACAAACTCCTCCCCCCTCATACAGCTCCACAGCTGAGGCATGCTGGGAAACTGTGATGTCACACAGACAGAGAGGTTCAATCAGCCTTATTTCAGGTCTTATTGCTCCTGGATCCTCAATCTGCTCCTGTTTGTGATCGGACTCACAAACAGGATCAATTACAGAACAAACTGATAAACTGACTGTATTGATCCAACATGGTGTTTAAATGAGTGTTAGGATCATTAATACTATTGGTAATATAAGCTATAAGAATGTGAACAACCTCCAGAGATATAATCCTGAAGAACAGAACTGAGGACAGTCTGACTGTACAGTCTTCTACATTCATCATGATTTACACAAACATTGAAAATATGCTGCCTTTAATATGTTCTTCATGTTTTTATTGGAGTTTAAACAGACTAATGAAGTGAAAATGATAGAAATACAGATTAAAGACATGATGTTGGACTAATGATCAGATCAGAGGGAGGAAGGTTATCTTACCGTGCACAAGGATCACAAACACCACAAACATCTTCATCTTCCTGTAAAAACTCCAACAACCACAAAGTCCTCATTAATCTGCTTCTCACTAAACGAACACTTGAAAAACACATTCAGTTCACAGCCAGTTGTCACTTTCCTCCTCCTGATAATCTGCCGACACTGTGAGGAGAAAACTTTAGTTTCACTTTAAACTGTTTCCAGAGAAGCAGCCGTTGGAATGGAAAGAAACCGGCTGAGCAGCTTTCACACAAACATTATTGGTTGATTGCCAATAACTCCCAAAACAACATATATGAGCGGTGGAGAGTAGAGCAGTGACAGACACACTGGACCTGAAGGACGTTAAACGGCGGGCCCGTGGTGTTGAACTTTGACGTATTGCCAAGAAACAGGGAGTTGTCTAACCTCAGTGAAACTGTCAATGTTTGATAAGAATCCCACCCTGAACACACACACACACATGCACATATTGAGTGATACTCATAGTGCCACATACTAAACAGGAAGTAAGCTTTGTGTGGTGATCTTGATCTGATTTACATGAGATGTTCATGGTGTGGTCCACACATGATACACTGGTGCAGCAAACCCTGATGTGTGTGGGCAGCGAGGGTCCAACCATTGCTGCTTGTAGCTTTGAGTTTTAGCTTTATAGTTACAGGTTTAAAGTCTGCTGTTCCACATGCGACCCCTATACTGCCCTCTAGAGGCTGATTGTGGTAACTACTGAGACAAAATGAAACTGAAAGCATCCATTGTTTTTACCTGTCCAGTCGAATGTTTTAGGTAGAACTGCAGTTATGTGCTTATTAAATATGTATTCTCTAAGTCATTTGCATTGTTTAAAAATCAATTATTTGACCTCTCCAACCAGTTTTATACAGCTGTCACTTTCTCTGGGTCAGGAGCGACTCTCGGCTGCTGACTTTGTGTCCCAGGAACTTCCTTCTGAAGCTTGAGTCCATAACCACCGAGGGCCTGAAACACCTCCTCAAGATGGTTCAGACTCTTAAAAACACAGTCTGTAATTAAAATACAGTTTTTAGATTGAATTTTACATAAATATTACATGTAAAAACAATGCAATGAGCTATAAATACAGATGAACACTGCTATAAAACAAATTATTTTACAAGAGTGCTATTTAATTTATTTATTTAAAATTTTGGTTTGGATGTTAAAAGTTATAGAACTGTAATAAAAGTCATTATCTGTGAAATTACAGTAATTATTGCTGTTTACACTGTTAAACACTGTATTTGGACAGTTTGGGGGGGGGGGGCATATATATATATTCAATATAACAATATTTTCTCTCTGTAAATAATCTTGGATCAACACATAGCATCCGTTTGGGTCAGACTGTCTCAATGGGAACAACTAACTGTTTCCTAAAGAGAAGAGCCACGCCTCTACTTCCAGTGGAGTAAGATGGAGAATACACCTGGCCTACACAGTCTTTTTTATGACTAATAGAAGCTCAGAGGGAAGGTGATGATGTGAACCACAATACAAACACACTGACAAGACAACAAAAGCATAACACATAGAACCCAACATATTCCCTTTCCCATCCCAAGAGCTCCAACCTGTGGAGTTTCCAGAGCACCTCCTCTCTCTCTTCTGCTATACTCTATATCAAACTCCTAGACTTCATGGGGCTCAGGCCACTTTATAGTTTTCTTTACAACGTAGAGAATAAGTGATACCAACTAGATCTGTTCTCCAACTGAACCCTAAACATACACAGATAACAGTACCTTGGCCTTCTTAATAACCAGAGGTGGGTAGAGTAGCCAAAAATTGTACTCAAGTAAAAGTACTGTTACTTCAGAATAATATGACTCAAGTAAAAGTAAAAAGTAGTCATCCAAATAATTACTTGAGTAAGAGTAAAAAAAAAGTGCTTGGTGGAAAAACTACTAAAGTACTGAGTAACTGTTGAGTAATGTCTGATTTATTTTTAAACACAAGCATTCAATCAGAAAAAAATACAAAATAATCGTCTTTGGGCAAATTATAATTCATCCAATCAATAAAATAAATTAAAATAAATTAATTAATTACCAAATAGCTTAAATTAAACTAATCCAGGTAAATTCAAGTACTTAAAAAAATAAAATAAATAAAATAATAATAAATATAAAATAAATAAGTAACACAAATTTCCAAACCTTTATACTTTTTTTACCAGGCTCTGCAGGCAGAACTAGAACAAGACAGCCCATAAACTCTCATAAACTGTGTGTGTGTGTGTGTGTGTGCAGTGGCGTGCACAGACTTTTTGAAGGGCAGGGGCGGAAAGAAATAAAAGGGCACATATAGCGCTTCCTCACCACTGTAGAGGGCACTTTAGACACGTTTTATATGTTATACAAATGTCACATTATAGAGCCTTAAAACAGACTAACTAGACAGACTACTCAGGTTAGTTTGCTGTTAGGATCAGCATCCACGAGAACTGTGTGGATTTCAACACACAATGACATGGATGTACCGTAGAATCTCACTGCTCTACTTCAGAGGTCAATTCAATACTATATAGTTTTAAAAAGTACATACAGTACAGAGATAACTGTACAGAGATCTGAGCGCTCTGAAAGTCCTGTAGTGTGACCAAGGCCTTCGAGGTACAGTGAGTAAAGGAGGAGCCAGGATGTAGTAAACTGGTTTGAGACCCTCTTATTAACTCTGGCTCTAAATTCTGGGGTAGCACAGAGATGTGGGCCTGAGGAGAAGGAAGGAGAAAAAGCAATAGCAAGCTTTAGCTTTAAAATGTGAACAACAGCAACTCACTAACCAACAGACTCAAATAAAGTCAACCAGCCACCCAAACACACACAATAATGCTGGCAGCACATGTTAACTACACTGCTGTAACCCATCCAGTAGAATACAGTCTCTAGTAGGAATATTGGTTCTGTATTCTTCTAACAATATAAACTGATTGAGCAAGGACACGCTGACAATAAAACCTGGACAACATCAAAATAAGAGACATTCACAGGAAGAGCAAACTGTCCCACTTCCTGTTTTCAACACAACGAGCAACGTTTCCTCAAATGTTTGGACTGAAAAAGTGAACAAAGCCATTCACAGCTTTTTCTATTCAACTGTAAAAGCAGCTTTCAACCAGCAGAGGGCGTCGCTGTGCACTTTTATAGCTAGATATCTAGAATTCTAATAGTTTGCACTACAATGTCAAGATCTGCCTGAGTCAGTCAGCCACACTACTATACACCCATATACAGAGTGTTTGGGGGTTTAGCTCCTCTCTGAATTATATGAAGGATAAAGACCGGCTGCTCCATCACAACCTACTCCACAATGACATCCATGAGCCACAAGACCTCACAACCCAAAACTGTGTGAACAAACCTCCACAAAGTTACTGACTGTTAATATATATTATCTTATATATATATAAATATATATATTTATATATATATAATCTATGTGTGTCAAAGACTGAATATGTTTCCTGTGGAATAAAATAAATGCATCTGCTGAGGGACAGTCAGTGAGTGTGTCTGTGTCCAACTCTTCCTCACAGGTTAGTTAATGACAGACAGTCAGTGAGTGTGTCTGTGTCCAACTCTTCCTCACAGGTTAGTTAATGACAGACAGTCAGTGAGTGTGTCTGTGTCCAACTCTTCCTCACAGGTTAGTTAATGACAGACAGTCAGTGAGTGTGTCTGTGTCCAACTCTTCCTCACAGGTTAGTTAATGACAGACAGTCAGTGAGTGTGTGTGTGTCCAACTCTTCCTCACAGGTTAGTTAATGACAGACAGTCAGTGAGTGTGTGTGTGTCCAACTCTTCCTCACAGGTTAGTTAATGACAGACAGTCAGTGAGTGTGTGTGTGTCCAACTCTTCCTCACAGGTTAGTTAATGACAGACAGTCAGTGAGTGTGTGTGTGTCCAACTCTTCCTCACAGGTTAGTTAATGACAGACAGTCAGTGAGTGTGTCTGTGTCCAACTCTTCCTCACAGGTTAGTTAATGACAGACAGTCAGTGAGTGTGTCTGTGTCCAACTCTTCCTCACAGGTTAGTTAATGATGTTACTGAGTCAATGTGAGCAGATTGTGTCTGTAGACTGAAGAGAATCAGAGTCTCACTGATGGTGGAAATAAAGGTTTTACTTCCTTAAAACAGCCGTTTTTTGAATGGAGTTTGGTGTGACAGTGTGGAGCAGAGGGGATTTGAACCTTAATAATTCCCATAAACTGAGCTGACCTACCTTCTAATAATGAACCTTGGAAACAGCAGAGAGTAACAGGAAGTGGAGATAAACCCTCCTGTTTTCTTCTTCTGTGGTCTCGTAGTAAAAGGTGGATTAATAAACACAAACCCTGGAATTAGTTTACAGTAACGTCACATTGGACACAAACAGTTAATAAAGAGTGTGAAGCACAGAAACAGTGACAGACAGCAGAAATATGAGATTGAATAAGGTCGCTGTATATGTCAGGACACTCATCAATAACTATTTGTGTATTTTATATAGAACAACAACACAACAGCATTGTTTGCTGGATATAGGATTTATCCTCCTAATAGATACAAACAATACAGTAATGTTATTTTACGAGCTCAGAATTTACATTTACCACCAGTCAAATTAGAGGCAGTGCTTTCACTTAAAAGGGGGCGGGGCTTGACGCAATGGGACCTTCACCTGTTGAATCATAGAGTTACTACTTTAAATGTCCTACAGTGAGTTATTGTACATAAACAATCAGAGAGAAGATTGGATATTTCTATATAGTTATTGTTAATGTCTGCCACCGGGTCGGATTCCCCTTGAAATCAATGAAACCAGGCAGTAGAAACACTACCGCTGTTGTCCACAGGGGGCGCCAGAATCAACTCAGACAGTTCCTGGAGTGTGACGAGTGTGCCGTCCCCATGGAGCAGAGCAACAGGCCGTACAGGCGGCAACTAACAGTTGATGTGATTGAGCAACTGTAATTAGTGAGAATCAATATTAGATTGTGGAAGCTGCAGATATTTCACTGCTGATAACGCTTTATGGACGCTGTCAC